AATATATATATTTTATTGATTTTTTACAGAGAGGAAGAGAGAGGGTTAGAGAGTTAGAAACACTGATGAGAGAGAAACATCGATCAGCTGTCTCCTGCACACTCCCCACTGGGGATGTGCCTGCAAGCAAGGTACATGCCCTTGACCGGAATTGAACCTGGGACCCTTGAGTCTGCAGGCCGACGCTCTATCCACTGAGCCAAACCGGTTAGGGCTCCAGTGACACTTTTTTAAAAAATTCATCCTTGATTGCTGTACTGGGGGAAAAAGTGAGGGCATGTGTAGAAATGCCTTAAACTTTTAGACTAATTAATATTAAAAGCACATGAAGACATTTTAATTTTACTGTATACTGAAAATTTGCTAAGAGAATAGGTCTCAGGAGTTCTCACCACACATTCACAAAAAGGTAAATATGTGAGGAGATGGATATGTTAATTAGCTGGTTGTAGTAATCATGTCACTATGTATATTGAAACATGTTGTACACCTTGTAATATATGTAATCTTAAAAAATAAATGAACAAAAATTTAGGAAGGAGAGCCAAATTAAAACAAAATGGGTGGGGCAGGAAAGCAAAATAGGCTGATGAATTTAAATAATCCTTTAGGCTATAACTTCCTGTCTCAACCAAGTGTCAGATTGTACAGGGCGCATAATCTATAGCCATCGACCAAATAAATTAATATTTTTATGCACCAATTATTTTAATGTATATTGTTTATATTTGTAAACCTGGATACCTGTTACTATTTGCTAAGTATATCTGTATGAGAGGAAAAGCTACATATAAAGAGAAATATAAAAATAAATATGACTAATCCTGTTATACCCCATTTAAGTCATACCTTTTTCCAATCCAAAATAATAAAACAGCTGTATTAAAGCGGACAGGTTATCAAAAGGTCTTTCAGATTACAAAGTAAATCAATATTGGATTTTTTAAAAAGATGAACATGGCATACTTTTAAAATTGGTATGATTAAGGAAAATGAGTGTACATTCAATTTTTCAGCACTGCTTTTTCAATAGATAGCACAATATACCTAAATTTCACTCATCATTTTTTACCTCATTCATTTCACTTTTATCTAAAAAACTGTGCAAGTCTACTAATTGAAAAACCATTTTTTAATTCTATATTCTTTCATATTTTCTCTTTTATTCCTTTCACAGTTAAGGCCTTTTAAAGAAAAGCTTCTAAGTGGTTTCTTTTTAAGCTGTGGACATAGATTCATACGAAGTATCCTGCTTCTGTTTTGTATTAGTTGCTGGAAAGCTCTTGATCAAATTTGTGGCCCATGTCTAATAAATGTTTGTACCTCACTATACACATTTTGGGAACATTTTGAGACTTTACCATACTTTGTCTTATTTTTCTTATTTTTCCATTAGCCCTCTCTAATGTTAAATGTATTTTTGGAAGCTCCACCAAATCATTTTGGACAAAAATTGAGGATTAAACACATATTCATGCATGCAATTTTTTTTAAGTAAGCAAAGATGCATTCATTGGAGCAAAGGCCCATTTACTCAAAGAAAGAGTATATTTTTATTCTCCCTCTACTATTAAAATGGCAATAAAAATATAAATTCTGCATAGCACATCAAAATAGGTGGAAGTGGCTCTAATTCATTCTGATTAGGGCTCCCAGGAGAGGAGAAGCCACAGAAAGTACAGGCAGTTTTAGTCTTCACGTTGGAGCAGAGTGCCCACCAGGCCACTGGTGACCTACAAAAGATACTGAGTTTCTTCATGCCTTCTTCGTATGAGATGGGGTTGGTATGAATAGAATTATTATGCACTTTGTAACGAAGTGTTTTTGAGTAACAAAGGGGTTCTGTTATTTATGCTGAGCAATTTATTTTGTCATTTTTATAGTACATTATAATATTACAATGTATACTCTCACAAATCTGACTAACAGGTTATTTCCAGCCATTCACTCAGGTTAAAGGGTAGGTTTCTGTCTGGTTAGAATAAGTGGTTCTAATTCTCAAAGCAGTGAATCCCACTCTATGGGGATATAAGGCCAATTTAGGTCAAAACCTTATAATATGCAAAACAAAATGTCTGAGTCATGCCCATGAAATGCTGAAGTTGCTAGATAAATTCTAAGGATCTTCCTTGTTTTAAAAATTAAAGATTTTAAAAGTAAACATTTTTATACAAAAATAAGTAAATAAAAGAGTCACATTGTCTACGTAGGATGGCTAAAAATTTCTTTTTCCCCCCAGCATTCAGTTTGCGTGCTTATAAAAAGCTCTGTGATTGCATTGCCTAGCGACTCTATTTACAGGCCTTAAAAGTCTGCAATTAGCAGATTGAATAGCATTGTAGGCAGGTCCTCGCCAAGATGGTAAAGATTACTGAGATGCAATATTCCTTTTTAGAATGAATAATAAACCTTTATATAGCCATCAAACCCAGTTCAGGCTGCAGAATAAATAACATTAAAAAATTTAATATGGAAAACCACAACCTTATTATAAACTCCCCAGTCCCAGAAAGAAAAAACTTATGAGATATGAGGAGCCTTCCAATGGTAAGCATTTAGATATTTGGCTGTAGTTTTTAAACATATTTTCCTTTAGCAAATACAATTAAATAACAAAATTAAAAATATATTTGACACGATCTGCCTTTGGTATCACATAATCACTAGGAATTAGAAAATTCTTACTCAAAAATATAAGATAGTCTCAACCAGTAAAACAAAGACTCATAACAAATTGGATAATTAACAATTTAGTCTTATCTCTCTGAATTACTTTCTGATTCTCCTTTGAATTCTCCCAGAACAGATATTATCATTTTTATGGCATAAATGCTACTGCAGGGAGAAGTTCTGGCCATGCATCAGAACTATTACAGTTCTTGGTGAAAGTGCATGTTTCTGGACCCCACCCCTGAGAGGCCAGTCAGTAAGTATGAAAAGCAGCCCAGGATCTGGTTTTTTATGTGTTTTGTTAATCCTCACCCAAGGATATTTTTCCATTGATTTTTTTAGGGAGAGTGGAAGAGAGAGGGAAACATCGATGTGAGGGAAACACATCACTTGGTTTTTTCCTGCATGTGCCCTGACCAGGGCCCTGGCTGGGGAGGAGCTTGCAACCAAGGTACATGCCTTTGTCCGGAGTCAAACCGGAACCCTTTGGTCCGCAGGCTGATGCTCTATCCACTGAGCCAAACCAGCTAGGGCCAGAATCTGTCCTAAACAACTTGCCCACCGACCCCGCCCTGTGAAATCAGCTGCTCTGGGTCCCCATGTCTGGGCGCTGTATCAGTCACAGGCTCTTAAAACACTCAAGGCACTTCACTACACATACACTTTTCTTCCTGGTCACCCTGCCTTATAAGTTTTTCCACTTGGCTTTTCATTACCTAAAAGACTGTAGTGTTATCTCGAAATTTGGAACATGTTTCTGTGCTTTCCTTCCCCTGAGCCTGCAATAATGATTGTGATGGAAACTGAGAAAAGCTCCACCCTGGATAGGGCTGGTGCATCCTAATAAGCATCTGCAGTTCTAAACACGTCCTCTGCCGAGACACAAGTGTTCCCCTCCGTCTAATCAATGGCTCCTTGTAATTGTTTGGTTTGGAACTTTCTCAACTGATTTTTTAAAAAGGAAATATAACTAGACTATATCCACAGCTTTTCCACAAGCCTATGTACCCTTAAATAAAATTGATAAAGGGAAGATTGACTACCTCCCATGGAATGCTAGTAGTAGTGATACATGCAAATCAAAGTGAATTCAAGACCAAGTTCAAAGACACTTCCTGCATAAAGCTGTCCCTGATGCCATCTGTCCTCCCCTGTGCCCTGCCCACTCCTGAGTGTGATATCTCCCTCTGGAACTCTCAGTGCCACTCTGATGGCAGTTGTCTGATTCTGCCTTATATCCCAGTTGCATCCCTCTCTCTGCTACGAAAGCTTGACTTTCTGAAAGTACAGACCGTGCCCTTGAATGAAAGGGAGTGCCCAGGAATGAAAAAGAAAGCCAGTGCCTGATTTACACATCCCCTATAAGCCTTTTCTTCTTTTTCAACAGACCCACAGAGGTTCTGTGAGGTTTCGTGGCTCTTTTGTCCTCTATCCCAGCTACTACTTCCAACTTGGTTTGTTCAAAACTGTTGCAATTTAGCCATTTCTGTCATTGACTTTTATGAGGTAAACACTGTCAGCTTCCACCCCTCAAGGCCACCACTTTCCAAGCATTTTCTGTAGGTTAGTGTTTTGACCCAGAGCTTGTGAGCTGCCCTGGAGAGAGGCTCATGTACCTCGTCCTGCAGGAGAGTCTTGCTGTACTCCAGATGGTGCCTCTCCAAAATAGAAGATCCATGAAGCTTTGCCAGTGGAGACGTGGATCTAGAAGGAGAGGGATATGCCACGATTTTAGCTGTTTAAAGATTATGCATATGTCCATACAAGATAGAATCTTTACTATCTGAGGAGTTTTTTCATTTCCTCTCTCTCCCTCTCCCCTAATGCCCGTGAAATTGTCAAAAGTTACATATTGAAAAAGATGTTTTAGATTTAGAAGATGAGAATATGCTCTTTAAAACAATTTTCTTTAAAAAAACAAAACACAACACCCTGATTTATTGAATGCATAAAATGATTGAACCGTTTAAACTCAGAAGTCTGGTCCTTCCTCTGCATCTAAAATCTTTGTCCCCAGAGTTTATGGTGGTTGAATATGACTTATAGAGCATGTAGCAAACCTGATAAAGCCTGTAGCTCATTTATAGAGAAAGTGTTCATTAGGAATTGAGTATTCTTATAAATACAGCATTGAGAATATAGTCAATAATCTATCCATGTGCGATACATATAAAGCTCCTGCTGGCGCCAATTGCACGCGTGTGTTTCGATCTGTCATTGTTGATTGTGAATTTCGTTGACACCTCTATTATAGAGAAAGGACGAATAGTGATATTAAAGTATTTCTTTTAATTAATTTCCTTTCAATGTGCACGAATCAGTGCAGCAGGCCACTAGTGTTGTGATAAGTATGTATGGTTTCAGATAGGTACTAGACTTTTCAGGGTGACCACTTCCCAAGTAATATAAATGTCTAATCACTTTGTTGTACACCTAAAGCTATTATAATATTGTATGTCAACTGGAAATTTAAAAATTTAAACTTTTTTTAAATATTTTGATTGATATTTTACAGAGAAGAAGGGAGAGGGATAGAGCGTTAGAAACATCGATGAGAGAGAAACATCGGTCAGCTGCCTCCTGCACACTCCCCACTGGGGATGTGCCCACAACCAAGGTACATGCCCTTGACCAGAATTGAACCTGGGACCCTTCAGTCCGCAGGCTGATGCTCTATCCCAGTGATGGCGAACCTTTTGAGCTCGGCGTGTCAGCATTTTGAAAAACCCTAACTTAACTCTGGTGCCGTGTCACATATAGAAATTTTTGGTATTTGCAACCATAGTAAAACAAAGACTTATATTTTTGATATTTATTTTATATATTTAAATGCCATTTAACAAAGAAAAATTAAGCAAAAAAAAAATGAGTTTGCGTGTCACCTCTGACACGTGTGTCATAGGTTCGCCATCACTGCTCTATCCGCTGAGCCAAACCGGTTAGGGCTTAAACATTTTTTAAGAAAGAGGAAGAAAAAGAATGTATAGGAACTAAAATGAAAATCACTATCAAGTAACACTTCTTCTCCATGACAGTGAGATAAATTTAAACTCAAAATTCCCATTTGCTAATACTTGGATCATGCTTTATGTAAGTGGGGACCTCAGTCTTCGGTACTCTTTCTTCAGTTCTTCCTGTTGGAGGGAGGGAAAGTGACATCAAAAATAAAAAGATGAAAAAAGAAAAGATGGAGAGAGGCTGAAGTCACAGGTGTACCTTGATAATGTGGAAATGTTGTGATGGAAATATGGAATAAATAATTTTAAGAAAGGAAGACATCAGTAATATGGGCAGCAGCCTTCGTAGAGAAGTTTCATTTTGTTTCAGAAAGAACAGAACTTTAGGGAGGAGAGGGGTCATGAACAGGTTTGGTAAACCAAATATCCTAGTTAGGGGTCAGAATTTTTTTAAATATCTTTTCATTGAATTTTTAGAGAGGAAGAGAGAGGAATAGAGAGATGGAAACATCAATGAGAGAGAAACATTGACCAGCTGTCTCCTGCATGCCCCCCACTGAGGATTGAGCCCCTAACCGGGGCATTTGACCTGACTGGTAATCGAACCGGTGACCCCTTGATTCATGGGTCGATGCTCAAACACTGAGCCACACTGGCTGGGCAGGGATCAGACCATG